TTAAACATAGGTGGTCTAATGACAGAATGTCCTTCAAAAAATATGGCATTATTCGTTGTCATTTTTACTCCTAAGTCGATTGAGTTTAATCTCAAGGAGACCAAACTCTGATACCAATTGTAAGGATCGAAGACAACCAAGTGGAAGAGATAAGCAATGTAAAGATCACAAATGTAACAATAAATAAATAAAAAAGGAAAGAATTGCAAACCAATTAACTACCCAACTCCTCTTGAGCTTGTAAATTAATTCAAACAAACTTCTTCAAGTTGATGAATTACAATCACTCTTGTGTACAAAGAAAAGTTCACCTCCTCCTTACCCCGAACTCCACTCGGTCAAGTTAGGAAGTTTTACTATCTCTCAGGACAACCCTCATAGAGCTACACTCATGAAGTATTCACTCACAAATGAAAAGCTTACAATGAACCTCACACCACTAAGACTACAAATCTTCTTTAGAGAGTGTTTTTTCACTAAAACTACTCTAGATCTTTTGTATCTTCAGTGTGCAAAAGTTATTTGAAATATCTGACCAACCACTATTTATATAAGACCAAGAAAATGCCTCATTAATGCTTCCAACGGATAGAAAGTAGCTGAAGAGTCAACTAGCCGTTGGAGTATCGGATATCCGGTACTCCTATTTTTTGCGTCCGACAGCAGGCAGTGAGTTTAAGAAATTTTCTTCAATTCTATCGGACGTCTGGTGCAAGATCTTTGTGCGTCCAACAGGAAACAAAGAGATTTGAGAAATCATCCTGTTTCTATCGGACGTCCGATGGAGACATATTCAACGTCCGATGGTTTCGTCGACTTTGAAGGATCCTATCGGACGTCCGATGCTAGCGTCCGATCAAGATCAGTGATCCAGGGGGAAAGTCTTATTTCCTTCGGACGTCCGTGGTGGAGTTCTTTATGCGTCCGAAGTTGCGCAATGATTGTAGGACGTCCGATCCAAACGTCCGACAGCTTTCAGCAGCCTTTGTCACTTTTAATTGCACTTGATCTTTGAATCTGATTTGATTCATAACTGAAAATATTTCTTGAAGAGACATTAGTATTATCCATTATTTTGTAAATATCAAAAGATAGGGATCAAGATCAACATATCCTCTACCCCCTACTCTATATATGTGTTAATCATGACATTTAGAATTGCATCTCATTTAAATTAGTTCATTTGGTTGCCTATGTTAGGAGAATTATTCTTTGAACATGGGAAATGGGTGATTATAACTTTTTAGTTTAAATATCCCATTAATCCTTGTATAAAAAAATTATGTCACGAATTTTTACCTTCCATATCCATTATGTTGCATTCCCTATTCTTTGGTCACTTATACCTATGTAAATAATTTAATTTTCTTTTCTTTTCTTTTGATTTCATCATTTACATACTCGTGACCCCTTTCAAGGGATTATTTTGGACTTCACAATTAATGCGATTGGTATCAATTAAATCCTTGAATGAACATTTTGTCCCTCTTGACGTTTTATTTGCATCCATGTAGGAAACATCCAAATGTGATAAATTTAAACGTTAAATTAGAGAAATTTTGACTAAACCATGCAACTAATTTGGACTAGGTTGAAAGGGTGCCTTAAGTTTGAGTCAATTGAATCTTTGCCTTCCCTTTCTTCAACCGTGACTCCCGAACTCATTTTCTCTTATTTTCAAAACCTGGAGTTGTCTAAAAGGGTTTTATTTTATTTTTGTTAAATAATATTTTTGGGTGACTTGGTACACCAAAAACTCAATACCAAGTGACGACTCCTAATTTTTCTTAAAAACCCTTTTTAGACTAAATTTTGGACCCAAACCGTCACATTCTTTAAAGTCCCATTCTAGGTCCTTTTTCATTTATTTTAAAATAAAATCACATCTTTTATAAACTCCACATATTTTTCTATCGCGAAAAAATGGGGCGCGACAGCTTGGCGACTCCACTGGGGAATGTTAGAGAGTCCAAGCACTTGGTCTAGTTGTCTTTTCTCTTTTTAACCCTTTTATTTATCATATTTGGATGTTTTAGGTTATATTTTTCTTTTTTATGATGTTTTGCACTTCACACTCGTATTCGTTCATCGTTTCTCGTGTATGTGATGAATGGTTTATTTATGTACTTTTGTTTGTTTATTTATTTGTATCGCGCTTTGCATTTGGGGTGGGAAATATTACCTTAGAGCCTCCATGCTTGTTTTAATTATAATCTCTCCCCTCCAAAGGAAACACTTTCATATGTGCATATGCTTTATTTTAAACCTTCATTTATTTTTTTTAGTGGCTTGTCACGCCACTCCACCCTATTAGGATTAGGTGACCTACTTGGACATGTGATCGTGACATGATGTGTGCGTAGCATGATCTGAAGGGTCACTCAATTTTTCGCTTTAAACTTTCGGTTGGTAGCCTTCTGCTTATGGTCGAAAGTTGAGGATTATTTGATAGATTCACTCAAACACGTAGTCGTGACACGATGTGTGCGTAGCGGTGTTTGGGGAATCGCTCGAGCCACCAACAAAGGGCCTTGGAATTGATGACCCTTGGCCACGAGTTTGAAGGCTTGGAGACCTGAGCTTATCGAGTCTAGATGCATTAGTAAGCCAATACCTCATGCATCTATGATCGTTTACCTAGGGTAGAGTCTGTCTTACCTTATTAGGGACACGATTCACGAGGGGAGGGATCCCACCTCTTTTTCATTATTTATGTACTGTTTTGTATTGCTTATATGTGTCATGTGTTTATTTGATTGAACTAACCTTTCTTTGTTTCTTTGTACTGCATTCACGAGCCTTAGAAAATAAGAGTCCTGGTATGGTACTCTCTAAGAGCCACCCTGCTGTGACATGTTTAAATTTCAATGCATTGCATTTATAGCAAAATAACATATCATTTCAGGCTTACCCCGACAATTAAAAGGGGATCCTTTTAGGTTACATTTCATATTTACTCGCTTTGATAAAAGGCATCATGCATAAATCCTAGAGAGGGAACGCCACGTAGGGAATCCCGTTTTAGGAATAAAGCCAACCTTTGTTTTTTTCGTGGGTATTTAACCCTTCAGGGGACTGCACGTTTAAATTATCGCATAACTGGAGGAATGAGACTCGTAGGTAAGGTAATTGACAAACTACTTTCTCCATTTTAGATGGATTGCCCTCGCCGAATTTATCAGTTGTTGATACCATTGACTGAGGTTTAAAAATGGCCTATCTTCATGCTACCCAGTGAATTGCATCAAGTAGACCAATATTTAGGACCGATTGGAGACTTTAAGGAGATCAAATCCAACGGTTATTTGGTAGAGGCTTTAGTACATCTTTGGGACCCAGAGTGTTCTGCTTTTAGAATAGGTAATAGGCAAATGACTATAACACTCGAGGAAATAGTTGGCCTCCTTAATCTACCCATGCATGGAACTGCCTTGGTTTTTCCGTCTGCTTCAGACAAGGCAGAATTTTACAAGATCATAGGATTGAAAGAGTCGGTACTACGAGGATCAGACCGGGGTGTTGCCGTGAATATTCTGTTTGAACGTTTTGCATCACGCGACGGGTTCGAAAGGCATGTGACAGATTTTGCGTTCACCTCCAAAGACATATGGGAGCACAAAAGGGCATTAGTATATGGAATAGCTATGGCTGGGATCTATTTCTTCCCGAGAAAAGATCAAAAGATAGCTTTTAAATTAGCAAAAATTGTGAATGACCTTTTTTTGGGAATCCAGGATAAGCAATGCTCTATAGTCCCGACCATTCTCGCAGACATTCTTTTAGCCTGTACCAGTTGCCAAAAGGAAGAAAAGTTCTTTTATGGGGCAAATTTGGTTCTGCACATATGGGCTATGGGGCATTTTAGGAGACAATCGTCTGTTGCCAATAGTTTGCCAGTAGTTGGATACGATTGGATAGTTACACATCACAAAAGAGTCAACGAAGAGGGTCTACCGAAGAACGCATCCGAATATGTGGATTACTTGGAAATGTTGCAAGATCATGACATTAGGTGGGTATTAGATTGGACGGATTGTTTTAAACCAGTACTTCGCACTAAGGCGTCAGAATGTGTTCTTTTGCTGGGTACTCAAGGAATCATCTCATATACCTCGAAGAGGTTTCTCAGACAACTAGGTCGCATACAGGGACTACCGTCTGCATCTGAGTTGAGTGAAGTCACCATTTTTTTTTATAACGGAGTATGTCCAAAAGAGATCCCTATGAAGAGCCAAATCACCGAAGCTTGGAGAACAATATCCAATGATAGATGCATTAGTTATCTTCCGGAGCTCAAACAGAAGGGTGTAGCAACTTCACAATACGAGGGTTGGTTAAGAAACTCCACCACACAAGGGTTGCAATGTGAGCCGTATGAGGAGATCACGAAGTTGAAAGCCATCGTTGAAGCCAAGGACAAGGAGGTTTTACAGTTGCGGAAATCCGTCGAGGCACACAAGGAAAGGGCAGAGGAAAACAAAAGGTTATATGAAATGGAGCGAGAAAAGCGCCAAGAGATGAAGCGGAAATGTGGGGAATTACATGATCAAGTCGAACGTGTCAAGATTCCGTATGCTAGAAAAACTAGAGATTCTGCACTAGATAGGCTCAGAAATTTTGGTGACCTTATACGAAACCGCCTTCGTGACATGATGTAAACAAATGTACCTGGTATTTTGCAATGAAATGAAATATCTCCATTTTCACAAAATGATTGTCAATAATAGGTTTGATCAACGGGTCTCATTCCGAAGGTATTACATCATATTAGGCTGACCCTGGTATAAAAGGGTTCCCCCATAGGACATGCATCCGAATTATTTAACTATATACTAACTCATGTTTTTTTCTTTTTCTTGAATAAATTACAGCAATTTGACAGAAAATCCATTCCTAAACTAGTTTCTTTTCTCCACTATCAGATATTTCTCACAATAGCTACCCAAAGAAGTCCCATCATCACCTGGTCTCGAAGTAGAGCCTTGAGACAGCCTGTAAACATGAGTTCAATGCCAGAAATTTCGGAAAGATCTACTATGGTTACGTCACCAGACTTCACAGCATTGGGAGCTCAGTTAAGTGAGGTACTTGGCAAGTTCAATGAGTTAAGTACTGAAATGGCCGCACAGAGGTATGTCATTGATCAGTTGGTTGCAAGCAACAGTGGTGGTGGTGTCCTGAACGACCAAGAACCTGTCGATAATCATCCATCTGCACAAAACCATCAACCACCACACACATCCAATGCCCAAACAACTTTCCTTCCTCCCTTCGCTAATCCCCTTGAAAATACCTTTACCCGACTAAATTCAGACCTTTCTTATACGCATCCAAATTATATATTGATTAACCCCACCAGTAATCAAATCTCTCAAACCCATCCACAAACCAATCTGAACGTTCCCCGTAATCCTCAGGAACCCCACCACCACGTTGCAGTGCCTTTTGTGTTGGATACTGCATCTCAAGGGAAGGCAGCGATAGAAGAACAACCTGCACCTATTGACAAAGATCTGTTGAGAAGACTGGATCGATTCGATGATTTTATGAAGAAGAATCAAGGATTGAGCAGGCATGGTGGGTTGGACTACGATGAATTATGTCTTTTTCCAGATATTCAGCTACCATTGGGATTCAAAACTCCCAAATTCAGTAAGTATGATGGGGCTGAAAATCCTAAGACGCATCTCAAGATATTTGCCAACAAGTTGGGTAAGCTCATGGATGATGAAAATCTGCCTATGCGTCTATTTCCTGAAATTTTAGAGGGAGATGCTCTAGATTGGTATTCAAATTTGAAGTCTGAAGAGGTCAAAACCTGGTTGAATTTGTCAACAATTTTTTTGAAGCAATATGAGTTTAATTGTGAGTTGGCACCGACACGAACAACACTGGAGGGCACAAAAAGAAAGCCATCGGAAGATCACAAGACCTATGCAAAGCGGTGGAGAAAGTTAGCTACCAAAGTGGAGCCTCCTATGACTGGGGAGGAGATTGTTCGTACTTTCATCAAGGCTCATGATCCACCCTACTTTGAAGAGATCTTTCGCATGACTAGAAGTTCGTTTGCTGCTATTATTAATAAGTTTGAGGAATACGATGAGTTTGTCAAGGCAGGGAAGATTGTTAATGTATCGGCATTGAAGTTGCAATTGGATGCTTTACAGAATCAAAGCAACATGGGGAAAAAGTCCCAATTCAAGAAGAAAGAAGGAGAAACCGCTTTTATATGGGATCAAGGCCCGTCTTTCAGACCCAGAAACCATCCCGCCTATTCTGTTCCTTACCCGTATTACACCAACCCTCAACCAGTCTACCACACTACTACCCAACTCCATCATTCTCGACCAAGTCACTTGAATACCTCACCGTTACCTCCACAACCTATCTTCCAAAATCACTCTCGTCCCAATTATCATCCCAGACCAACCCTGCAAAATAATAACCCTTCTCAAAATCCTTTTCAAACCAGGGGAGTTCAAAATCAAAGGCAATTCCGAACCTTTAGCAATTTGGGCCGACCCATTGATCAATTGTATGAGCAATTAAGAGCAGCTGGAAAAATTAGCACTATTCCTCCCAAACTCTATCCCAGAGCTCCTCCTGACGGTTATGATCCACAAGCAATCTGTGCCTATCATTCTGGAAGTCCAAGTCATACCACTGGCAATTGTTGGGCTCTAAAACATAAGATCCAAGACATTATTGATTCTGGAGACATCCTTCTTAGAAGAAAGGGAGAACAAGGACCCAATGTCAGTAAGAATCCTTTACCTGAGCATGGAAGTACTGTAGGAGTTATCATCGCTGATGAAGATTTTATCGATCCCACTCAGTACATTGTAGATGAAATTGAGGTGTTTGGTGTAATGGAAACTGACCACGCGAGAATGAGAAAATCGCTGTTTGCTGAGAAGTTCATGACTAATGATGATGTTGAGAAAAAGTTGAAGTCTCTTGTATTTGAAAAAGAGGAGCCATTTATAGTAGAAGATGGAGTTTTCGAGGTTGACAAAATCCCTTTTATTCTGGATCTACCATCTTTTGAATGGGATATATCAGAGCCCGTTATTCTCAAATTTTCGGAACAAATACCTGTCAATAACTTGCAAGAGGTACCCTGGAACTACGAGGAGTCTATTCTGTTGATGGGAGATAAAAAATGCTTAAAGGAAGAGGTATCTACTATTACCATGTCTGAGAGAATCGTGGGAAACTCCAAAGTAGACGTTCAATCCAAGGCCAAGGTTAAATCTCCGACGTCCAAGTCTCTTGTGCCTGAAAATAAAGCCGTGGATTTCTTAAAGATGCTGAAGAGAAATGAGTACAAAATAGTGGAACAGTTGGATATGATGCCTGCTCAGATTTCTTTTTGGAATCTTCTCTTGACCTCCGAGCTACACAGAGAAGCATTACTCAAAATCCTGAATGAAGCTCAAGTCTCTAAAGATATTCCGGTGGATAAATTTTCTAATATTGTGGGGAATGTACTTGCTGCTAATCATATTGCCTTCTCTGATGATGATCTGACTGCAGAGGGAATCGGGCATAACAGAGCCTTGTATATATCAGTCCGCTGCAATGGAAAACTGTTGCCAAGAGTTTTAGTGGATAATGGGTCAGCGTTGAATATCTGTCCATGGAACACTCTCATCAAGCTTGGATTTCTTGACATTAAACTCCGTCCATCTGCAACTGTGGTTCGAGGATTCGATGGTTCAAGGAGGGAATCTATGGGTGAAACAGATCTGGTATTGGAGATAGACCCTGCTCAATTTCAAGTTACTTGCCAAGTAATGGATTTCTCCAGTGTTTACAATATTTTGCTTGGAAGACCTTGGATACATGTTTTCAATTCAGTGTCATCTTCTCTGCATCAAATGTTGGGATTTACTGTGAATGATTAGCTCATTACTGTGTTTGCTGAGGATGACTGTACCATGATCGTTGATGCAAAATTCAAAGGTGAAGACAGAAAAGGGACTCTAGTTTCATCTCATCACGTTGCTGACATTGTCTCTGTGGGATGGGTATCCAAAGATAAGTCGCTGACTAAATCACATTTGCCAGAGGCTGATATCATGATGGCTAAGGAGATGATCCGAAGCGGATATGAAATAGGAAAAGGTCTTGGACGGGAATTGCAAGGAATTTTGGAGCCAATAGAGATCCCGATGCAAAAGGATACATTTGGACTGGGATTTCATCCAACTGCTAAGAATAAAAAGGAAATGCAAGCTCTAAAACAAGTTGAAAAGAAGGGTAAGCAAATTGTCTTAAATGTCCCACCGCTATATCACACTTTTCCTCGGCCATCAGAGGTGATTATGCCAGAAACGAAAAATCCTGTGGAGGAAATTGAAGTGGACCTATCTCAATTATTTGTTGAGGCAACTTGTGAGAAGGAACCATCAGAGAATTCAGAATTTTTGTCAGTTACCGAAGGAGCCATTCAAAATTGAACTGCTGATTATCTTCCCTCTCGAAGGGAATTTCGATAAATTTAAGGGGATTGTCTTTTGTATAGATTCATATCTAGGTTAGACAGTAGCCTGGATCTTTTATTAAAATAAATTACTTTTATTTTTTTGAAGCTTTATTCTCATTTCAGTTAATATAGCTTGTTTTGTTCAAGAAAATTGTTGAAACGAAAATAAAGGTTTGGGCTAGAAATGTCTTTAAATAGCAATCATGTCTGTGTATTTGTCTCTTTGTGAAGTTTCGATACATTTTGAATTTAATGAAATGGAAGATCTCTCATGAATTTTCTATTTATTTATTACGTATGTTCTATTTTATTTTCAGATGGCCACAAGTAAAACCCTTTGACCCTTTGGATGTCACCATTTTAGAATCCGATGGCTGCAATCTCAATATCTCTCATGAATTTGAAATCATGCAATCTGAAATTCAAAACGAGAGCGATACTGAGGAAGAATTTGAGTCTATTTCAAGGGATTTAAAACAGTACGAAGAGAAACCCAAACCCAACTTAGAAGAAACAAAAATCATCAATATTGGCTCTAAGACGGAGGTTAAAGAAGTTAAAGTCAGCATTCATTTGAATAAGAAACAGAAGAAGGAAATGATTGAATTCTTAATGCTATTTCAAGATGTGTTCGCATGGTTATACGATGATATGTCAGGGATCTCTACAGACATAGTGGTTCACAGATTGTCAACTGATCCAAATTTTTTACTTGTAAAGCAGAAGTCGCGTAAATTCAAACCAGAAATGAGCCTCAAGATAAAAGAATAAATTGTGAAACAGCTCAATGCCAAGATAATCGTGGTGTCTCATTATCCCATCTGACTCTCGAATCCTGTGCCAGTGCTTAAGAAATCTGGGGAGATGCGAGTATGTGTTGATTATAGAAATCTGAATAAGGACAGTCCGAAAGATGATTTTTCTTTGTCAAATAGTCATATTTTTTTGGACAATATTGCTGGAGACGAAATTGAATCTTTTGGTGATTATTTTGTTGGGTATAATCAAATCTTAATGGCAGAAGAAGACAGAGAGAAGACTTCTTTTATCACCCCATGGGGAACCTTTTGTTATCGAGTGATGCCTTTCGGGTTGAAAAATGCTGGAACCACTTATCAGAGGACCATGACTACCCTGTTCCATGACATGATTCACAAAGAGATGGAGGTTTATGTGGATGATATCATAATTAAATCCAAGAAGGTCGAGGACCATCTGATTGATTTAAAGAAACTGTTTGAAAGATTGAGAAGATATAATTTGAAGTTGAATCCTGCGAAATGTGCTTTTGGAGCCCCAGCTGGTAAATTATTGGATTTTATTGTCAGCAAACAGGGTATAGAGATAGATCCTGTAAAAATAAAAGTAATTCGAGATATGTCCATTCCAAAAATTCAAAAAGATGTGAAGAGTTTTCTTGGAAAGATCAATTTCATTGGTCGATTCATTGCACAGTTAACATCTACCTGTGAGCCTTTGTTCAAATTGCTGAAAAAGAATGCGCCGATAGATTGGAATGAAGATTGTCAGCAAGCTTTTGATAAGATAAAAAATTACTTGTTAAATCCTCCGGTCTTAGTGCCACCTCAGCCGGGAAGGCCTCTGATTATGTATTTGTCTGTTCTTGATGAGGCTGTCGGATGCGTTCTGGGACAGCATGACGAGTCTGGGAGAAAGGAACAAGCCATCTACTATCTGAGTAAGAAATTTACAGCATATGAGGCCAACTATTCTTTTCTTAAAAGGAGTTGTTGTGCTTTAGTATGGGCAGTTCAGAAGTTGAGACATTATTTGCTCGGTTATACCACTTACTTGATTTCTCGTTCTGATCCTCTAAAATACCTGTTGAAAAAGTCGATGCCCACGGGACGTATGGCTAAGTGGCAAATGATCCTTTCCGAGTTTGACATTGTCTTCACAACACAAAAGGCAGTCAAGGGTCAAGCCATAGCAGATCATTTGGTAGAAAATCCAAGAGATGATGATTACCAGCCATTGCATACCTACTTTCCGGATGAAGAAAATCTGTTCGTCGGAGCAGTTAAGGCAATGAGTGAGCAGTATCCTGGATGGGGTTATTTTTCGATGGCGCGTCAAATTCTTTCGGAACTAGAATTGGAGCAATTTTAGTGTCGCCTGAAGGGAAACACTATCCTGCTACTGCCAAATTACGATTTTCTTGTACTAACAATACAGCCGAGTATGAAACTTGTATTTTTGGATTGAAAATGGCATTAGACATGGAGATTAAGGACCTGATACCATTCAGTGATTCCGGTATACTGATTTACCAGACGCTTAAGCAATGGATAACTCGGGATTCAAAAATTATGCTGTATCGTTGTAACTTGCTTAGTTTGGCCAGCAAATTCAGGAATTTGGAACTCAGACATATTCCCCGCACTCGTAATGCCTTTGCTGATACTTTAACTACTCTGTCTTCGATGATCCAACATCTAGATAAGCTGGTGATTGAACCTATACAGATTCAACTTCAGAATAGACCAGCGCACTGTCTGGTTACGGAAAGGGTCACTGATGGTCGCTCCTGGTACAATGATATTAAGGAATTCATGAAAACGGGGTCCTACCCTCCTGATACTGATTCTGTTGCAAAAAATTTCTTACGCAGAATGTCATCAAAATTCTTCTTGAATGGAGAAGTGCTATACAAGAAAACATCTGATTTGGGCCTTCTGAGATGCATCAATGAAGAAGAAGCTAATTATATGATGAAGGAAGTGCATAGTGAAATTTGCGGGCCACACATGAATGGGCATCTACTGGCTAAGAAGATCATAAGAACAGGATATTTTTGGCTAACCATGGAGCATGACTGTGTAGATTTTGTTAGAAAGTGTGTTAAGTGTCAAATGCATGGTGATGTTATACGTGCTCCTCCTACAGAATTACATAGTATGATTGCTCCATGGCCATGTTTGATCTGGGGAATGGATGTGATCGGAACTATTGATCCTCCTGCTTCAAATAGGCATCGATTCCTCTTAGTGGCGATTGAATATTTTACCAAGTGGGTTGAGGCCGCGTCCTATAAGCATGTGACTAAGAAAATGGTATCGGATTTCTTGAGAAATAATATCATCTGTCATTTTGGGGTACCAGAGACGTTGATCACTGACAATGCCAAGAACCTCAATAATGATATGGTTGATGGATTATGTGAACAGTTCAAGATTAGACATCGAAATTCGGCCATTTACAGGCCTCAGATGAATGGAGCCGTTGAAGTTGCAAATAAAAATTTGAAAAAGATTATTCGTAAGATGACTGAAGCACATCGGGATTGGCATGAGAAGCTGCCTTATGCACTAATGGCGTACAGAACTACAATCAGAACTTCTACTGGTGCAACTCCTTACTCTCTTATGTATGGAATGGAAGCAGTCCTGCCTGCAGAGGTTGAAATTCCTTCCTTACGCATTCTGATGGAAGCTCAGATAGAAGAAGCTGAATGGGTCAAAGAACGTCAGGAGCAGTTGTCTCTGATTGATGAAAAGAAATTGAATGTCGTTTGTCATGGACAATGTTATCAGCAACGAATGGCTCGGGCTTACAACAAAAAAGTCAAGCCCCGTTTGTTTGAAATTGGAGATAGATTTTGAAACGGATTCTTCCAATGTAAGATGAGACTAAAAGGAAGTTTGCTCCCAATTGGCAAAGACCATTCATTGTTAAGAAAGTATTATCCGGAGGAGCGCTTATCCTTATGGAAATGGACGGGTCAAGTTTTTCCCCAACCAATCAATGCAGACATGTGCAAAAAGTTTTTCATTTGATTATAAAAAAATTTTCTTTAAAAAATACTGCAAGAGACGGATTTAAGCCATACTTTTTCTCATTTTTTCATTTCGATATCCTATTTCTAATTTCTCCCCTTTTGACTTTTCAGCACCACCTTCTTTTTTTTTCTCACTTGGCAGCCCCTTAAGATCACTAATCCCCATACCGGGCCAATTTTGTTTCTTTGAAAAAAAAAAGAGAAAAAAGGAAAAGAAATAAAGAAATAAAAGAAATAAAAGCAAAAAGAAAATAGAAAAATTGGATTAGAATTAAACTGGGGCAAATTTTATCTCTTTCAACCCTAGATCGGAGTAAGTTTTCAAAAGAATGCTATTTCAAATGATTACTAACCCATCATGAGATCCACTTTCAAGTCTCAACATTTCCTTCACTATTTCATCCAATTCTAGTTACAAGAGCTCAAAGTTGTCTACTTTCATCTTTTGCAGTATTTTGAGAAAAAATTTTCTTAATCAATTGGCAAATGATGTAAATACAACTTTTCTGAAATATGTCAGAGATGCTTGTCTCACTGATGCCACAAATTATCAAAACATGATTGGATTGATACAGTTGGGGTTAAAATTTTCTTTTCTATGTCTCAAGGTGAAAACCTGAAAAGGAACATTTGAAAGAAAAAAAAAAGAAAAAAAAGAAGAAAAAAAAGAAAAAGAAAAAGAAAATGGGTGACGGTAACCTTAGTGAAAACCCGAAAGGACGCTGAGGTAAGGTTTTGGAACACAAAAGGATCATCAACGAAGAAAAAGATACTGACGTCTGAGAGCTAGTGACTATGTTGATTTGGGTCTCTTTCATACTGTTGTTCTTTTGCCGACAATGAGTTCCAAAATGGATGACGTCGAAGAGGTCAGATGGAGCACTTATCTTCATCAAAGGCTGTCCTCTAAATATGTGTCCAACTTTTGATCTTTGGACCCGTGTTTATAAATCTAACAATTTTATTTTATTTTTTTTACTATAATATTTATTAGGTACTATTATTTATTTCATATCAGCATTATCGCATGATGCATAATACATTTTTCAATTGTTTATATTTCTCATTTATTGGATCTCATTCAAAAAACAATCATCTATAATTTATCCCAAAGGAGTCAGGAAATTGAAGGTGCTATAATAATAAAGTTTGGATAACTGATATTAGAAGGTTGCAAAGATTCTGAAGAGGTTGTGGACCAAATCTAAGGGAGCAATTTGTTGATATTGAAACTCATGTTTACACGGCACTCAAGGCAAAAGGATCACATGGTGGTGGCACTATTTCTATCACAGTTGTTTCTTTTCTTTTTTTCCTTTTTGCAGGAAAAATTATGTGACACAATATTGGTTCAGTTGAGCATGATTCACACTGGGGCAAACGATAGAAGAATTGAGCTCCAAGTTTCGCTGTGCATTTTCGAAGAAAGAAAAGAAAAATCACTATTTCCTTTCTTTTAAAGTTCAAAAAATCAAGAAGAGATTGTAAGTCCACCAAGTTTCGAGCATATTTTCATTCTCTTGATAGGCATCTGGGTTTGAATTCAGTCCTATTGAACTACCTAGATCCTTGACAAAAATCAAATTTAAATTTTCTGTTGGTAAGTTTCAGCGTCCACCGCGCACCCTTCTATCTCCCCTTCTTGATAATTTGATTTCCTGTTGGAGCATAACCGCGTCTCTCTGCGCATCTTTTTCTTGACAAAATTTAATTTCCTATTGGTGAGTCTCAGCGTCCACCGCGCACCCTTCTATCTCCCTTCTGACAAATTTAAATTCCTGTTAGTGAGTCTCAGCGTCTGCCGCACACCCCTCTATCCCCCTGCTTGACAATCAAATTTCATTTCAATTGGGCTCAGGTCTTATCCCACCAATGTATCATTCAATTGGATTCGGAACGTACCCCACCAATCTATCAATTGGGTTCGGGGTGTATTCCACTAATCTATTATTTTAATTGGGCTCGGATCGTATCCTACCAATCTATTAATTGGGTTTGGATCATATCCCACCAATCTGTTATTTCTTGATGATCAAATTTAAATTCTTGTTGGTGAGTCTCAGCGTCCACCGCGCACCCTTTTATCTCCCTTTTTGACAAATCTAAATTCCTGTTGGTGAGTCTCAGCGTCCACCGCGCATCCTTCTATCTCCCTTCTAACAAATTTAAATTCCTGTTGGTGAGTCTCAGCGTCCACCGCACACCCCTCTATCCCCCTTTTTGACAAAACTTAATTTCCTGTTGGTGAGTCTCAGCATTCACCGCGCACCCTTCTATCTCCCTTCTTGAAATCAAATTTAATTTTCGTTGGTAAGTCTCAGCGTCCACCGCGCACCCTTCAACTTCCTTCTTGACAATTTAATTTCCTGTTGAAGTTCCGAGAGCTCAGACTTCTTTGACTTTGCAAAGATCACAGATGATCAATGCACATGTTTCATTGTGGTTCATTCGTATTCGAACTACATTTGACCTGATTCCCATGGCGGGATACGTAGGCAACTCTACATGAGTTCGGTCACGTTTTCTGTAACATTATTGCATCATTCTGTCTAATAATTTTAACCAAATGTTGGCGCAGAAACAGGTAAGTAGTTTGGTGTCTACGTTTTTGTCTTGAATTTCTTCGAAACTCTAGACAAAGAGGGGCAAGTTGTAGACATCAAAATTTTGTCAAATTTTAATGTTTTCTTGAAATTTTTTCTATTTAATGAGTTATTTATTTTATTGCAATTTACTGTGCATTTTTCTTATATTTGCAGGTTTGTTTAAAAACAAACTAAAAAAATAAACAAAATAAACAAAAGAAAAAAATTAGTTTTTGTTTAAAAAAAAAAAGGGGGAAGTCATCATGAACCTTCATGATCACTTATGATGACCATCACCTCTTTGACCAAAGCACACGAGAGAGAAAGGAAGGAAGCAACGGAAAGAAAAAAGAGGCAATGGATCCAAGAGAAAAAATTGCAAAGAAAGGCTCCAAAGATTGCCTTTAAGACCTCTCTCGGCCTTTTCTTTGGGGACTGGACAGACAAAAAAAAAAGGAAGCAAGAAAAAAAAAAAACTCCACCCTTGCTCCAGAATATACTCAATCTCTCTGGCTCCTCATTTCTCTCCCTCTCACAACTAGACAGAAAAGCCAGAGAAGAAAGAAAAAAAACTTCCCTCAACCTTTTCTCTCCTAATATTTTCCCAACACATTCACAGGCATCAAAGAAATTTCAGTCAAGGTAATTTCACTCTCATTGAGGTATTCTCTAATTTTTTTAGCATATTAGATGTATTCTGGTTTTAATTTATCTTGCTTTTGCTGTTTTTTTATTGTTGTTTTGTG